AAAAAAAAAAAAAAAAAAAACCTTAAAATCAGTTATTCCAACATAAACTCAGAAATTGTCTCACTCCATCCCCTGCCATTCTAAAATTTGCTCCTCCTCTGGCATTCTTGATTTCATTTCATGATACATCCTCCACCCAGGGGTCAAATTTTAAAAATTGTAAATTATCTTCTATTTCTCTCTCTTTTCTACCTTCTATATGTAATAGGTCTCAATGTCCTGATGATATCTCTTCCTAAATATACTTTCTAATCTATCTCTCCTTTCAACCCCAGTACCTCTGCTTTGTATCAGAGCTTATCTATCTCTTACATTTTACCTGATGCCCTTGAATCTGATGTCATATGTTTCCAATTTTTTCTTCCAGTGTACCACATGACATGAATAATGATCTAATTTGCAAATCAGGTCATGTCACTCTCCTTTTTAAAAATTCTGTAGTCACCCCTCATTACCTACAAGGTGAAGTACAGTCTCTACATAAGGCCCTTCGTTATCTGTTCACGCCCATCTCTCTTGCTTTATGGGATGCTTGGGCCCACTCTAGGCCCCTTTCCTTAGTTCTTACACTATGTCTCAGCAGCCTAGTCAACTGCTTGGCAATTCTCAGAAATTTCCATACTATTACACGACTGCTAGAGAATAGGGCAACCTTGATTTTTTTCCCTTATTTCACACTTCATTCAAGTAAAAAAAAATGATCTCCTATATAGTTTTTTTTTTTTTTTCCTCTGACAACACCTACACACCCATCATAAACTCTCCAGCTCCAGAAAAAATTAAAAGTTTTTCTAGGTCGTAAGAGACCTCTTCTCTGCTACTTTCTTTATTGTAGACTCCAAAAGTATATGTGCCCAACAAGCACGTAATTTTATATTAAAGAAATAATGCTATCACCTAATATGTTTGTGAAATACTTTGTGCTAACCATATTTCCATCTTAGATGTTTATATTTCCTATCATCATATGAAAGGTTCTGAGAAATCTTTCAATAAGGTAATGGATTTAACTTCTCAAACGTGTTTAAGCATTCATACCTTTATTTTTCTTATAATGATGAGAAAATTCCACCAAACATATTTTGGGAGATGCTAGTCTAGTATCATTTTGGATTCCAATAACGGAGTAAAATGAAATATAAAACAAAACAAAAATAAGATGCAGATCAGGTCATGGGAGCTTATACATTTACCTAGAGGAAGAAAAATGGCAAATCTAGAGGAAATAACATTATATAGCAGTCCTCCTTGATCTTAGGTTTCACTTTTCATGCAGTTTCAGCTACCAGAGGTCAACCATGTCTGAAAACAGGTGAGTACAGTACAAGATATTTTGAGAGAGAGAGAGAGAGCGCACGCACATTCACATAACTTTTATTAAAGTATATTGTTATAATTGTTACATTTTATTAGTTATTATTGTTAATCTCTTACTGGGACTATACATAAATTAAATTTTATCATATGTACGTGATAACATACTTATGAAAAACATAGGAAAAAACATGGTGTATATAGGGTTTGGTACTATTTGCAGTTTCATGCATCCACTGGGGGGTCTTAAAATGTATCCCCCACAGATAAGTGGGGACTACTGTATACTTCAACAAATCATTTTTAGAACAACAGAATAAAGCGTATTTAAAATGTTGACTATGTGGGATGCAATAATTCCTTGTGCCATAGGATCAAATGACCAGTTGGAGTTGGGCAAGAGTTAACAGAAAAGGCTTTATGTACGAAGAAGGCTTACTGTACTTTTGGCTAAAACATACTTTCCTATGATTGTACCCTGGTAACTCTAGTAATAAAATAATTTTTAAAAATACATATTGTTATCCTTTGTCTGTAGATTTATATTGATTTCCTCAAGCTTCAGCATTCCTCTTATAATTTCCCAAACATGCATTGCCTACAGATTCTCCAATGTCTTCTCAAAGATACTCAACAAGTGCCCAGTTGTCCCAGGGTATTGAAGTTTACCCAAACCTCACGTACTCCTATTTTCCTGCAAAGCTTCCCAGAACTGTTTATTCTGTTTATTCTAGTTCCTGTGAAAATTCAAGGACACACAATAATATTTATCTGATTAAAGAAATTCACACCAATTTATAAAAGGAGGCTTTAATCTTCCTTGTAATTAGTCATTGAATCCAAGGATCTAAGCTGGCTTTGACTATAAGACACATTTCTTTTTTAATATACCCTAGAAAATACTGCCAATTTTAATTGCAAGATATCATCAATGTTAGGACACATCCAGATTTCAGGTATGCTAATATGTGATAAAATATGAGATTTAGAATTTAAGAAGTTTGTATCAATGATGGTTAGGTAAGGAAGAGGAGTAGAGCAGCTAAGTCCCTCCCTCCTCCCTCTCTCTCTCTCTCTCTCTCTCTCTCTCTCTCTCTCTCTCTCATAAATACTACAGGGTACTCTGCTAGGTGCTTAGGGGCCCCATGGTTTTAAGTTTGAAAAGTTCAAATTTCAGTTTCAGAATAACAATAAGTAACAAATAAATAAATAATTATAAATCAAGGCCCCCAAGAGAGTTATCTAGATACTGTACTGATAATCATGTTTTACTGCCCTTTGTTTTCCCATCATTTAGCACTATAGTAGGAACTCAATTAATATTTATTGAACTGCCCTAAAGTGAAAAATACCTAAACTGAAAAGAAAATGTTTATGGTTTATTATAGGCCAATTTCTTTTATGAAAATTTCTAGGTAGCATCTGAAGAGAATACATTCCCATCTAGAGGAAAGGAAAACAAATTCCCTTGAATTCACTACTAAATTGCATTTCTCCTTCCAACCCCATACTTCACACTGGCCAAGGCACTCTAATGAAAACAGGCTAAGAGAGCCCATCTATCACTTAGGCAGCTGGTGTGTACCAAAGACAGATGAATCCTAGAACCAAGGCTTCAAGTGATACACGACAATGGAGAAAATGACACGCAAACCTGTGACAGTCAGATGACTCAGCTAATGATTCAGAGCTCACTCAATGTGACATTTTAACTATTATCCAGCAATCTCACACTCTGTTTAGGCATGCCATATGTAAATTCTCAATTAATACTACAGAGTCACACTGCTTTCTCAGCAGGGTTCTGGGGTAGCATCTGATTATGTGTTTTGCCTCCTTTTCTTCCTTTTAGTGCTTGAACCAAGAATACTACTAAACAGATAAAAGAAGGCAAAGAAGTTGAAAACATGACAGTTCTAATGGAGAGTTTGTACCTTTTTAGCAGTTCCCTGACTCTAATAGGCTTCCTTTATGAGAAAATAACCCATTAGATTTTAATCATGGTAGGTTTTTCAACAGTTCAACTGTGATAATATAACAACTTGATTAAGAAATATATCCTGTTGCTATAAAAATACACGTGCTTGAACCTTATATCGTGGTGCTGTGCTGCAGCTCACTCATACTAGCTCCTGAGCGCCTCCAGTGCCTCCATTTCCAAATATTTTAAAAGTAGCTTTAGGTTAGCAGCCTGAAATCAGCCATGCTGGGAATATTTACATCACAAAACTGGCCAACCTTAAAACAGGATTTTTTTTTTCCTTAGAAAAATGGTACATATTTATTCCTATTACCATTGGTGACGAAGGGGAGATACACAGAACCTCTTTACCAAGACAATCTAAAAGCATATCTTGAGCTATAAAATCCCACATCACACTGAATGAGCAAAAGTTGGAAGCATTCCCCTTGAAAAACAGAACAAGACAAGGATGCCTTCTCTCACCATTCCTTTGCAACAGAGTCCTGGAAATCCTAGCCAAAGCAATCAGGCAAGAGAAAGAAGTAAAAGACATCCAAATAGGAAGAGAAGAAGTCAAACTATTTCTGTTTGCAGATGATACCCAGGCATCTAGGATCACCTCCCCCTTGACTTCCACACTGCATTTCAATAGAAGAAAAGGCTGGTCTACTGGCGCCTCCTAAATCACCTTCCTGTAAATAGCAGGCAGGGTGTGGGGGAATCTCTCCAGGAGACATTGCTTTTACTTAAACAAGATCAAAACCCCACCCAACTCCTCCATCGACCAAGACCCTTTCATATGTGATTTCTAAAACTGTAAACCCAAGACCCTTTCACCTGTAATTTCTAAGGCTGCAAACCTAAGATTCTTTCAAGTGTAATATCTAGAGTATAAGCCCATATAAAGGCCGAGCTTTTCTTTGTTAGGGGAGCTTGGTCATTTAGACAAATTGTTGCCTGGCTCCCGGCTGTAATAATAATAATGATAATGATAATAATAAACACCTCTTCCTTCCCAGTGCAGTGTTAGAGAGGTATGTTTCTTGTGGCCGATCCTGCTTCAATATGATGCTATACCTAGAAAACACCCTACTCTCTACGTAAAAGCTCCATGATCTGATAAACAACGTCAACAAAGTTTCAGGATACTAAATCACTGTACAAAAATCAGTAGCATTCCAATCTACCAACAACAACCAAGCTGAGAGCAAAATCAAGAACTCAATCTCATTCGCAATAGCCACAAAAAGAATAAATATCTATGCATACAGCTAACCACAGAGGTAAAGGTTCTCTACAATGAGAGTGACAAAAAACTGCTCAAAGAAATCAGAGATGATTCAAACAAATGGAAAAACATTCTATGCTCATGGAGAGGAAGAATCAATATTGTTAAAATGGTCATACTGACCAAAGCAATTTACAGAGTCAGTGCTATTCCTGTCGAACTGCCAATGACATTATTCACAGAATTAGAAATCAACCATTAATATTCACATAGAATCAAAACAGAGCCAAAATGGCCAAGCAAAAAGATCAAAGCTGTTAAGTGTCACATTATTGGACTTCAAATTATACTACAAGGCTACAGTAACCAAAACAGGATAATACGGTACAAAAACAGACACATAGACCAATGGAACAGAATAAAAAAGCCCAGCAATAATACTACACACCTACAACTATCTGATCTTCAATAAAGTCCAGAAAAACAGGCAATGGGGAAAGGACTCCCTATTCAATAAACGATGCTGGTACAACTGGCTAGCCACATGCAGAAGATTGAAACTGAACCCTTTCCTTACACCACATTCAAAAGATCAACTCAAGATGAATTACAGACTTAAATACAAAACCTAAAGCTATAAGCACCCGGGAAGATAACCTAGGAAATACTATTTTGGATAGGACCTGGTGAAGATTTTATGACAAGGATGCCAAAAGCAATGGTGACAAAAACAAAATTTGACAAATGGTACCTAATTAAACTTAAGAGCTTCTGTACAACAAAAGAAACTACCAACAGAGTAAACAGACAATCTACAGAATGGGAAAAAATTTTTGCATGCTATGCATCCAAAAAAGGTCTAATATTCAGAATATGTTAATAAGCAAAAAAGCAATCCTATAAAAAAGTGGGAGAAGGACATGAGGAAACACACTTTTCAGAAGAAAAATATGCAGCCAAGAAGGATATTAAAAAAATGTTCAATATCACTAATCGTTACAATAATGCAAATCAAAGCCACAAAGAGATACCATCTTATTCCAGCCAGAATGGCTTTTATAAAAAAGTCAAAAAATAGCAGATGCTGGTGAGGTTGCAGAGAAAATGGAATGCTTACACAGTGCTGGTAGGGATGTAATTATTTCAGCTATTGTGGAAAGCAGTTTGACATTTCTCAAAGAACTTAAAACTGAATTGTCATTCGACCCAGCAATCTCATTATGGGTATATACACAAAGAAATATATATTTTTCTGCTGTTTAGACACATGTACAGGTACATTCCTTGCAGCACTATTCACAATAGCAAAGGCAAAAATCAACCTAAATGCCTATCAGCAACAGTAGCTGGGATGAAGAAAACGCGGTAAATATATACCACAGAATACTGCACAGCCATGAAAAGAATGAGATCATGTTTTTTGCAGCAACATCGATGGAGCCAAAGGCCATGATCCTAACACAGAAACAAAGCGTACTAACACAGAAACAAAAAACCAAATACCACATATTCTAACTTACAAGTGGGACCTAAACATTTTGAGTACATATGGACACAAAAATGGGAATTACAGATACTGAGACCTACTTGAAAATGGTTGGGTGGGGGGAGGGTGAGGACTGAGAAACTACCTATTGGATACCACATGATGAAATAATCTGTACATCAAGCCTCTGTGACATGCAGTTTACCTGCATAAGAAACCTGCACGTGCACCCCTGTACCTAAAATACAAGTTTGAAAATAAATAAATAAACAAAAACTCAAACACATCTTGTTTAGTATAAACAACACCTCTAGAAGGTCATGATGAAAAAATCCTGGTCCCAAAATAGCTACCTCACAGCCTGAGTGTAGAAATCCTGGATGAGGTTCCCCTTCCCT